TAGATTTATAGCTGCAGTTGTTTCCTGTTCAAGTGCCCCCTTCAGTAGGACAATCTTCTGTGCAATCCAAAGCACTTATTTTTCTCTCTGCCCTTCCCCAGTCTTAACTCCTCAAAAGAATAAAAAATTGAGTAAGCTGCCTCAGAGCAAAGATAGCTGCTAGTTTGGGGTATTGAGCCTGACAGTTGAAGAAGCACTTCTCGACTAGAGCAGCCCTTGCCTGCTATGACCTGGTCCCAAAATGTACTTTGGCCTGCAGCAGCCTTTAAGTTAGGCCTGAGTTTAGTACGTCAGCTCTTGGAGCAGGGAGGGGGAACAGCCATGCACGTCTTAACTTCAGTACTCCTCCTGACAGTGTGCAGTGCTGACACACCGCTAAGATGAACAGGCCAGATGTGAATCTTTCCTTCCAGTCTACCATCTCCTCTCTGAATCGAAGCCATTCTTTTCTAGCCCTTTTTAAAGAAATCCCTTAATCCTTACACTACAGTGGTTATGGTGCAACTAAAGTTAGAGCAGAACAGCCACTGAGTGCAAGGGTCTTGCTTCTTAATTTGCAGATTAGAAATCTTTATTTTATGGTAAGGAGGCAAAGTATTTAAGACATGCTGTTCTAGTTCAATGTGAAGAAAGGGCTGTGTAATCAGCATAGCTCCACTGAGGTAGAGATGCTTCAGGTAAGGTTCTGTCCCAAAGCCTGTCTCACTGGCCAGGTCCCAGCGTAGACAGATGGATGAAAGATTGTATTTGTATTTTCTGTAGGTTGAATGTACTGAATTTGTAGTGACCTGGCTTGTAAACTTTTCTCTATTGTTTCTCTTGCTTTAGTCAATGTCTTTTTTTTTTTTTTTGAATATACAAGCTGTGATTAAGTGAATTTCTGTTTTGTTTCGCTTTGAAAGGCCTTTTTATGAGCAAGTGCCAAAGTCCAGTTTCTGCTTGCTGAGAATTGCTATATATTTTTCCAACATAAGTCTTCTGCACTGTTTTCTATGTCATTATAATGGTCCTATGTAATATGAAAATGTGCTGTTTTTTTCAATTCTTGTTGACTGTCTCTTCTGTAAGCACTGGGCTGACTACTATATTTTTTTTTTTATCATTTTCTCTCAGTATTTTGCAAATAATGTTGCTGTTTACTTGGCATTGATGTGACTACTTGGTTTGTGGCTCCCCCACTTTAAAAGTGCCGTTCCTAAAGAGTTAATACTTTTGTTATTTAAAAGAAAAATGATTAAAAGAGGGGGGAGGGGGAATTTATAAAGCTAAATATCATATTTTATTTTTCATATGTTTGAATTGTAAGAATAATATGGTGACAGTCCCATTTGTAGGATGAAGTTACATATTTCCATTAATATGTAGTATGCTGTTCTTAAAAGAAAACTCTTATAATGAACTTTTAATTAAAACGCGCTGTAAAATGAGTCTTTTAATTCCTTTATAGTCACACAAGACACAGAACGTTCTCTTTCATAGCTGCTCTGTGTTCAGCTACTGTCTCTCTAGACTGGTAGCTTCTTACAGGACTGTACTTCTATCTTTATTCCTTAAATGTCTTCAATTACAATCCTCAACCAAAAGGGGCTTGGGGGGGTGTGTGTGTAACCTTTACTGGGGTGAGGGTCTCCACACTTAGATGTGGTGTGGGGTGTCTGAAGCTCAGGCTGAGACCTGCTTCCTACTACTGTGATCTGATGGGCACCAGTCTATGGCATGTCTTGGGATACAGCAGTTTCACTGGAGTAGAATGGGTCACAGAATAAACGTTCATATTTATTTTGACAGTTGTGAGAAACAAAGTATGACACCTTCTGGGTGAATGTACTGGTTGTATGCAACGTAAGTGTCTCAAACCAGTGTGAAAAGAACCATTCAACAATGAGATGACTTGCTGAAACGTGATAGCAGAGGCAGTACGCTGGTACAAGTTGTAAAGTGAAGTGTCTGTGGGATCTGACAGTCAACAAAATGGATAAAAGTTGGTGGTGCTCCCTGTAAGAGGGTGGCCAGCTGGGCCAGAAATGCTTATCCAGCTGCGACATACTTCTCTGGCACTGGAGAGTTTGAGGTTTCCATGAAACATTACATGGCTCGATTTTTAAATGTTCCCATTGTGATTTGCCTTAAAACAGAATTCCCATCCCCCTGACCCACAACAGTGCTTTCCCTGCCCTAAGGAAAAAACCTCAAAACATCCCAAAAGCCTTCAATATCTAAAAAATCTGTGCTCTAGAATCAGGGAGAGTGCAAAATTCTCATCTCACACGGGCTGGAGACCAGCAGTGGCATCAGCCCTCCACTCAATCTACCTTTATCAGCTTTTTACAAAATAACCTGAAGGAACTGAAGTCTGGAATGACCTGTGCTGAGGTCTGCCCTTTTAGGACCTTTTGCAGGTTTCACTCTGTTCGTGGAAGGTGCAATGGTGAAATTGTCTGGGACACTTCTCTGGATGGCTGGAGCTGGTGCACAGAGGTGGGCTGTCCTTTCAGACACCAGTGCAGTGTTGGGATTCACTCGTTGGTTGAGGGAAGTGGAGGGTCTTTACTTCCATTTATTTAGAGAGCCATTTAAATGCGCTCCCCATCTTAGGTCTGTTTTTAGCACTGACTTTAAAAGAAACACCTGAGCAGCAAGCCCCACCTGCATGGGGAGGTGCTTGGGGGTGGGGGCTGTAATCGCCTTGTTTTGTGCATGGTGAGAACACCTGGTCTGGGGCTGCTGGTGGGCTGCTGCTGGGAACACTGGCTGTGTTCTGCCTTCAGTTCTGCTCGGGCTGTGTGGAGAAGGAGTGGAACAGAACTTTGCTTCAGTGTGGAAATCAATACTAGCACTTGGTTCTTTTCTAAGGTACGTCTGGGTGCGCGGGTTAAAGGCTGTTTGGGGACGTTCATCCTGTTGCAACCTGACCTAGAACTGGGGTGGATCTTTTCTTCTAAAGATAAACAACTTAGTCCTCTGTTTTGGGTTTGTTTATTTTTTACTGATTACATAAGCAGGATGGTAGGGATTTGGGGGAAGGGTTTTCGTGTTTGTCTTTTTTTAAACACTGCCTGTTTAATAAAAGCCAAAGCTAAGGAGTATATATTCTGTTGAAAATGTTTGGGGTTTTTTTTAGTCTTTTACTATAAATATTCTTTCTTTTGTGCAGTGGTACCTTTTTCATTAAAACGGAAAGATGCGTATTGATTTTTGTACCTTTATCTTGCGATGAAAAGCTACGACTTATTCTGCTGCTCCACGTTCTGGGAGTCATGTGTTTTATGTGCATATATAAGCAGATGGCAAAACAGGAGTAAATATTACCATATTCCAGCATCTATACTGTTTGTGGAGCATGGAAGTGACAAGACAACCTTCCGTTCCCAAACTGCTCTGAATACACAGAAGTAATAACTTAGAGAAAGCTGACTGACAGCTACAGCACTTGGAACGTGCAGTAATACAGATTTCTGGAAAACATGTTTCCGTTCAAAACCAAACAGAGCCCAGACTCCTAAAAGCAGCACCAGTGATCCTAACAAGTCAGCCTGCCAAGAGCTGTGAACTGGCCAGGGCTCCAGGTGACTTCTTGGGTGTGAATGCTGCTCAGTCCGTTTCTGTGTTGCACTGTGCTGTTTGTATCTACTTGGTGCATTTAATGGCTGTTGAGCAACAAAGGATCTAGCATTTGGTATGTTTAAATCCAGGTTATCTTTCTTCCAAGACAAGTTTTTTTGACTTACTGCCTGGCCATTAAAAAACATGGATCATATAATAGTCCTGATGCTTGCTTGAAGGCTTTAACTACGCGCTTGCTAACTAGAGCTGGATGTTGCCCAAGGGAGGAGGACCACTTCTGTGCTTCTGGGATCCTGTTGTGAACGGGAGGCTGACTCCCTTGTGCAGGTGGCTTTCTGCTGAGCGGCCCTTGCTCATTAAACTGTTAATTTAGGTCTCAGAAATGCAAGGAAGACCACAGAAATTCTTGCCAGTAAAGCTCTACACTCATTTTTCCATGCACTTCCCCAGTGTTCAAACATGTGAGACTGCCAGGGAGAAGCTGATGCTGTTTTGCTCAAAAGCTGTTTTCCCTCAGGCCTTTCCTGCTGGTGAAATGCAGGCCAGTAGCAAAGCTGGTGCTTCGTATCAGGTGTTTAGAGCTGGCACTTTCTCAATCAGGATAACTATTGTTCTAAAAAAATGTTTCTATAACTACAGATTAGACTTATTTCTTGTTTGCTATTGGCACCTATCTCTGCATAAGGATTCTTCCAGCTGATTTCAGTTATCCAGATTGGAAGGGAAGATCAGCTGCCTTTTACTGCATCATCCTTGAGGGGACCTGAATCTTGCTAGGAGAGCAGATACAGGAGAAAATAGCCTGGCCGAGGCTTTCACCACAGGTGATGTTCCCCCGATGCTGCTGTAGGAATCTGAAGCTGGGCACACCTGCTGAAATCAGGTGTGACCTCCGGATGGAGAGAGTCAGATACCATCAAACTCACTGCAGAAATGAAAGGTCTCTGTTGACAGCCAGGGAATCTGGGGATTTGAAGGTGTTGCAAGATTTTTCCAGAGATCTTTCACTAGATTTTTATTTTTTTGTGTGTGTGCACAAAGAAAAAGCTAGACCTTGATACTGTTCATGGTTTAGCTGTGAGGCTTAAATAATAGATGAGTTTTACAGAGCTCAAAATCTTCTGGAAAGAATTGAATTAATTGCACCTCTGGCTATAGCTGTTTCTAAAAGGCTGCACTTAGAAAAGTATAATTTTGCACAAGGAGTGCAAAGGTCCGTTTCTTTCCCCACAGGAGAGCTGGGCTGATGTTTTGGCAAAACTTCAAGTACAGAAGCTCCCTGATGGCTTGATGCCACTGAGAGAAATTGTTTTCTTTATTAGAGATGCTTTGGTGTTTCACCTGAGGTGGCTCCCAGCCCGTGTTTGTCCCAGCAGTTTAGCTCCTAGTGGTGCTGTTCCAAGGTG